CCAAAATATATGAAGGGAAATTTTGGGCTTAGAGTCAATATACCAAAAAATATATATGATCATTGGTGTAGCTATGAATAGTGCATAAAAAATGCTACAGACACACCTCCGGCCACACCACTGTTGGAAATTTATCAAATAAATAAAGATTATAGCATGAATTTAAACCCGGAAATTAAATAAAGAATACATCAAAGATAGATAATATAAATTAGAGAAACAGGCCTGACGGGAGCAGTCGTGTAAACACTGCCCTAGAAGATTGAGGACCCGCCTATCGCCCTGGCGCAGATGATCCCTTCTCCCCTAGCGGTAAAAACCCCCAGAAACGGCCCGGCCTCTGCACTCGGGCGAGAGTGCAGAGCTTCAGCTCAGATGAAGAAGTTGCCCATAAAGTAAAACTAAAGTATAGATGAAAATGATATGTAGAGGAGAAAAGAAAACAAGATAAGTTTTCCACATTTTTCTTCATGTTTCTTGAGCTCAACATATGTTGTTTATATAGGGGTTGAAAAGAGCCGTTACAAAATCCCTCAATAAATTTCGTAACGTTCGTCATAATGTATAGTCATTATGCCCATTTTAATTACAAATTAAAACACATTAAAACATATTTTAATTGCATATTTTAATTACAAAAATTTATTAGAATTCATTAAGGCAAAATTGCCTTTTCTTTAAAAATATCCAACACAAACTCCATATTTAGCCAATGCCACTTAACCTTACCTCTACAAATATTTCTGTTTTTCTGTTGATCAACGCTAAATAGTTGCTAATATTAGAGAAACATAGAAATACAGTTTTTCCTTTCTAATAAAGGCGTATATTCGGTTAACAGATCTCTCAACAGCTATCTCGATAACTGGACAACCGATTCCTTTCATCTTAATCTTCAATATAAATTCTAATCCTCTCATTCTTTCTTTTTCAATTCCATATCAAATTTATTCCAGCTTTCTTCTTCTTTTGTTGAGCAGAAGCTAGCAGTCTTCGTGCTCAAATGGCTCAAGCCTCAGAGATGAACAATAGCGTGTTGAATTCGACAACTCCTAGTGTAGAGCTAGAGTGTTTCTCCCCTTATATGATCATCACCAATGGAATATGGCTTGACGACGATCCTCTAAGATACTCTCTCCCTCTTTTCCTTATCCAACTCCTTATAATAACGCTGACCAGTCGCACTCTTAATGCTATCTTGAAACCCTTTGGCCAGCCTATGGTCCTCGCTGAGATCCTAGTATGTTGATGCAAACAAGTATCATATTTTTCTTATTTCAATATTAAATTTTGATAGATGATGATTTTTGACATTTACAAATGCAGGCAGGGATGCTGCTGGGACCATCTTTTGTGGGAAAATTCTTTCAAGGATTTCAGGCTCATTTCTTTCCACCAAGAAGCATCAGCATACTGTCGTCGATGGGTAACTGTGGCCTACTTTGCTTTGTGTTCATGGTTGGAGTTGAGATGGACATAAATGTGCTAAGGCAAATGAAGAAGAAAGTAATGGCTATCGGAGCGATTAGCATTGTGCTTCCTTTTGCGATCACCTTGACTGCTGCCTACCTCTTTCGCGGCTATTTCCTTGAAGAAAAAAAGAACAATGCCTTTTATGTCTATCTCGCTCTGGCTCTATCAATCACTACATTTCCTGTGCTCGCTCGAGTCCTTAGAGATCTCAAGCTTCTGAACACAGAGGTCGGTCGAGTTTCCATATTGTCCTCTGTCGTCAACGATCTGTTCTCTTGGGTGTTGCTTGCCCTTGTCGCTGTACTCTCAGGAACTATGAGAGCCGATAAAGGGATGGACGGCCTACCATTCCTCTACATCTTGCTGTCGAGCCTGGGCTTCTTTATCATCTGCGTTGTCTTGGTGCGACCGGTATTAAAATGGCTCGTGGACAGGACGATAATTTCGGTCCTCTTATTCCAACCAAAAACTCCTAAAGTGAAAATATTAAAGTTTTACCCGGGTAGTTAGCCAGGTAAGGATAGTAATAGAGGTTGATCAAAGATCAATTAAGTACCTCGTTCCTTGCAGAGCGCGTTACGCAACCCTTAAACCTTGCCTTAGACACCAACTAATCCAAGAAAACTTGAATCGGTTCACTCAATGAGTTTTTGTTCCTTAACAGTATATAGAAACTTTAAATTATTTCCTGTAATCATTTAAAATGCCTAGCAATTATACTGCAAACATATGTTGGATAAGGCCGAGGAGGGGTTTACCTATTGATGTTCGAACCTCATGATTTTCATGTCTTGAGAGTAAAACTCATCTGCTGCAGACAGCTGCCACTTAAGTTGCTGAACAAATCTGCATTCACTTTTACCACCTTCTGTACTAAGCTTATTAGATGCATAAATACTCCAAAGTATGGAATTATTAATAGAAGAAGGTACCATATTGATAGGTTAAAGAAATGAAAGCATTAAACCATGAACAAATCCAGATATTTCAAAGCATCTATGCATCCAGAGTTTGTTCTCTTTATTCTTGTCAAAACCATGCATATGAAATTTTCAAGAATAAAAATGTGAATTGCTGCAATGTAAAATAAACAATTTACACATTCACATAAATTATGCAAAATGTCGAACAGGACTTACACTTTTACTCTTTATGAATGGCATTGTAATTTGCTACAGTTTTTTAATTATTATTATTTTTTATAAAAAAAATAATATCCAAAACTGTTTACATGAACAGTAACCTTTTTTAAATAAAATAAACAGTAACGTCATTTTTTTTAAGAATGAACAGTAACGACATTTTTATAAATGAGCATTAACATTCTTAAAAATAAATAAATAGTAACGTTTTTTTAATGAACAGTAACATTCATTAAAATGAATGAACAGTAAAATTTTTTTTAAAACATTAAAAACTGTTTTAAATGAACAGTAATGTTTTTAAATAAAATTAAAATCTGTTTTTTTTATGAACAGTAAATTTTTTTTTAAAATTTTTTTAAAACAAAAGGTTAATTAATAGATAAGCAATTTAGCAGCAATAAATTTTTTTTAAATTCGGATGAACAGTAACCATCTCGAATGAACAGTAACTTTAAAGATTATTTTTCCGGATTTAAATCAAAAGCTATAAACATCTCAATCTTCTAGATTGTTGGAAATTTATCAAATAAATAAAGATTATAGCATGAATTTAAACCCGGAAATTAAATAAAGAATACATCAAAGATAGATAATATAAATTAGAGAAACAGGCCTGACGGGAGCAGTCGTGTAAACACTGCCCTAGAAGATTGAGGCCCCGCCTATCGCCCTGGCGCAGATGATCCCTTCTCCCCTAGCGGTAAAAACCCCCGGAAACGGCCCGGCCTCTGCACTCGGGCGAGAGTGCAGAGCTTCAGCTCAGATGAAGAAGCTGCCCATAAAGTAAAACTAAAGTATAGATGAAAATGATATGTAGAGGAGAAAAGAAAACAAGATAAGTTTTCCACATTTTTCTTCATGTTTCTTGAGCTCAACATATGTTGTTTATATAGGGGTTGAAAAGAGCCGTTACAAAATCCCTCAATAAATTTCGTAACGTTCGTCATAATGTATAGTCATTATGCCCATTTTAATTACAAATTAAAACACATTAAAACATATTTTAATTACAAAAATTTATTAGAATTCATTAAGGCAAAATTGTCTTTTCTTTAAAAATATCCAACAACCACCAGCCACACCCCTCACCTGCTACAGTGCAGGGGGGCCCACTTGAAATTTTTTAAAAAAAATTCAAGTGGGGCCCCCTGCACTGTAGCAGGTGGTGTGGCCGGAGGTGTGCCCGTAGCATCACTCACACCTCCGTAGCATCACTCATAGTGCATAGCTACAGTACTAACCCCAATTGTTTTAGTAAGTAGATAAAAGTGTTTGGTTTGAAGCAATTACCTTCTTGCTTTGAACTCTTCAGCCGGTCAGCGTTGGCCCTGTGGGTGGTAGGGAATGCAGAGGTGGAGATGCAGTCTTTTTTTTTTCCTTTTTTTTTTTTTGAGGAAATATAGTTTACACTCTACACTTTGGTTTCCCCGCGGTCTCTCCACTCTCTTCCTACAGTGAACTTGTTGACGCTCTAAGCTTGAAGAGGACCTCGATGGGAATGGAGGAGGCAAGAGAGATCCAACTCAAGTCCACATTGTGCTTATCACTCTTATTCTCACCACTTTCGGGTTCGCCATTAATTGCTACAGGGCGCCGAAGGAGCAATATAAGCCATTTTCTTGGATTTTCTTTTCTTTGAGTAAAAGAGTGTTGATTTTTGGATTACCCGTATGGAAATTTAGGAGTGATAATAGTGCTTGAAGTGTGATTAAATGTGGAATAAATTAAGAAGAATTATGCCTTGCTCGTTCATTTTGTTGTTGGTTTTTAGTTGGGGAAGCTTTTTGATGGTACTGTGATTTATCAGCAGTTAGACCATTATATCAATACAATCACTAATTTTGTAATCTATATTGAAATGCTTGTCTTTCTCCATATTGATTTTTTTTATAAAGAACTCTATAGAATTAATACTATTTTCTATTGCATTATAATTGCATTTAGATCCTCCTTATCGCCATCTCAACGACTCAACAATGGAGAATGCTTCTTCCTCATCATAACCATTCATAATATGATAATATCTAGAACGTTGTGATTATAATTACAAACATAATCAGCGTCTCATTCTTCATGCCTTTGAATTTTTATCTTGCTTTTTGTTCAAGATAAACTAATGACAGCAAATTAAACGATGGATGGCTATGATTAATAAAGTAATCAGCCAGGAATGATATGACAAATGAGAGAGAAATTCTTTGAAAAACGATAAATTTAGATTTCACAACAAAATGCAATTCCAATATGCTAGATAAAAAAAGACTTGATCACTACAAGAAAATCGACGCTGTCAAACAAAACAGACACTAAAACTTCCTTTCTTTTGCTAACTATGTAAGCTCTAAAAACTCCCCATGTCAACACCACGAAATCCCTGGTCTCTTAGCCAGCACGTGCACCGGGCGGCCCGAGCCCCAGCTCAAGATCGAGCCTGACCTCATCCTCAGCCTCAGTCACATTTGAACCCTCCAGTTCGACCGAACCCAAACCAGAACCAGAACCAGTTTGGCTCACAGACCGCCTGAACCGGGCCCGGTTCTTGACGACCTTGCTGGGCCCCGCAGGGGGCCCCGGCTCTCTGGGCACGTGGCGGATATCGTAGGTCCGGAAGTTGGGGTTGGTGGTGATTGGCGAACCTTTGAGCACGGACTCGACCGCCGCCTCGCAGACGTGCCAGTTGCCGGAGGACAGTAGACCGACGGAACCTTGGATCGGGTTCACGATCCGACCACAAGCTTCGTACATTAGCGACCGGAAAATTGCTGGAAAAAAAAAAGAAATAAATCATATAGTCACAAATATTAAACTATGAATGAACGGGTCAGGACTACTTCGATATGCATTATCAAAGATGTTTTTTTCCTTAATTAAGAAAATAGTATTAGGATTTAGATCCTCTCCGATTAGTTAGTTGAAGAGGGTCTGATTACTTCGATATGCATCATTTATATCATTTTAAGAGATGAGATTATTTCATTTTAAGAGATGAGATTATGCGATATATATATCACTTTTAATATTATAATAGCGGTTTTCGCAACAGCGGTTTTCAGGGAAATGTGGTTTTTCACAGCAATAATGGAAATCTTACATTTGCATAATTTTATTATTTAAAATTGAAATATACGATAAAGATGGGAGTAATTGAATTATCTTCCATTACCATCTAATTGGAGTGGACCCCAATCCATAATATCATGACGAAGTTACATACTTATGATTATTAAGACTTAATGAGGCACATTGTTTAAAGTTAATTCAAAAAAAAAAAATTAAACAGAAACTAACTAATAAGAACTAATTTCGATCGAGTGTTAACACACACACACACACCCCCCCCTAAGGACTGGCCTGGGCGGAGTTGTCCAGGGCAAGTGATAATGAGATTCATAATTATCACATTTTTATTTTCTCATGAAAATCACATTTTCATGACAAAAGCGATAGATGGTGTCAATAATTTTTCTTTTCTTAGTAAAGATGATAATCAACATAATAAAGGATATAATCACAAATTTTAAATAACAAGAAGAAGAAGAAGAAGAAGAAGAAGAAGAAGGATTTGGTGGATATTAGCCATTTTTTGAGTTTGTTACAAGATTTATTGTTAGTCTAAGTGCAGACCCAAAGCTGAAGCCGAAGTTGGAATCGAGAAGATGAAGCAAAACGAAGGAAACAGGAAAACTGCAGTGCGATCGACCGCGATGCTCTCGGTGGTCGACCAACGTGCACGCGACTGAGAAAAGTCTCTGGACTTTTCGTGATCGACCGCGATGGGTTCTGCGGTCGGCCGTATATACCCTGTAGGCGTTTTAGGTTTCTGTCATTTATCCAGTTGACCGCGACTGGTTCGGCGGTCGACCGCGAGTCGAGCTGACAGTTTCCTAATCTATTTTATGATTCTTTTTGGACTGTATAGTATATATATATATATATGATATAAGTATATATATATATATATATATATATATATATATATATTATATAATTATAATATAGATACATATGTATAGCTATTTATTATATATGTATATATATATATAATTATATATATATTATGATATATGTATTATATATACTATATATATGATATATACTTATATCTATATATAGTATATTAGATGTATATATATATTATATATATATATATATTACTATAATATTATATATAATAGATATATATATAATATAATATATATATATATTATATAGAGAGAGAGAGAGGAGAGAGAGAGAGCGAGAGAGGAAACTATGTCAACTTAGTGGACGTTCCACTAATTTTCTTAAGTCGATTGATGATCACTTGATGTAGAGAACTTACTTGTGGATGACTCCGTTCCCTATGAACTTGATACAATATTAAAACCCACACACCAAATTTTGGGTGGTGAACCGTCATGGTTTGACCTTGCATTCCACTCAGATCAATTTAACGGTTTCGAATGAATAGAACTTTTACATGGTCGACGGGAGGGTCAAACATGACGGATTCCCCAAATTTGGTGTGTTTCGGGTCTGGTTTTTTGAGAATATGCTTTAGCATCAAGTTCAACGCGAGCGGAATTATCCACATGTAGCTCAAATCAAAGTTGATCATCAATGACTATTGAAATGAGTGGAACGTCCACTTAAGTTGACACAAGTTTTTTCCTCTCTCTCTCTCTCTCTCTCTCTCTCTCTCTCTTCTTCTTATGATATATACTATATTAGTGATGTACTACTATATAGTATATATGACTCATATATATAGTTAATATATATAATTATATTCTTTGCCTCGATATATATATATATATATATATATATATGTTTTCTAGGGCTAAGGAGAACGTGAATAACCATCAGAAAGAGAGAAAAAGAGCGAGAATCTCAGAGAGATTAATCGCTTGTTTGAGTGCTTGTATTCCTTCTTCAATTAATCAAAAAGATAGTGTGGTGTGGCTCCCAATGACGTAGGCACATTGTTGAACCTCGTTAAATTGACGTGTTCTCTCTTGTTCTTATTTTTGTAAGTTTTTATCTTTGATTTGTGGTGAATTTCTTTCTTGCTCAACTTTCTAACAAGGTCTGAAACGGCAAGGGTTCGATTTAATTGTTTTGAATCCCCAACAACTGGTATGCCTTGCTTGTGTGTTCATAACTCAAAATAGGTATCAGAGCTTTGTTCAGCAATTTTTTGAGAACGTCATGGCAGAGGAAATCAAATCTAAGATTGAGAAGTTTGACGGTTCAGACTTCGCCGACTGGAAGTCGCATATGGAGGACTATCTATACTAGAAGGACTTGTATTGCCCGTTGATGGGCAAGGATAAGGGACAGAAAAAAGATGAGTCAGATGATGATTAGAAGATACTGGATAGGGAGGCTCTAGGGAAAATCCGGTTGTCACTCACCAAGATAGTAGCCCACAATATCTTGAAGGATAAGACGATGGTAGGGCTTATGGAAGTGCTCGTGAAGATGTACGAGCAACCGTCTACATCAAACAAGGTACATCTGGTCAAAACTCTTTTCAACCTCAAGATGACAAAAGGACGGTCCTTCACAATGCACCTCAGTGAGTTCAACACGATTGTTAAATAGCTTATCTCCGTAGACATCACGTTCGATGACGAAGTGCAGGCCCTTTTATTACTATCGCAGTTGTCGGATAGTTGGGCAGGCTGTGTGACGGCAATCAGCAATTTGACGGGGAAGGAAAAGTTGAAGCTGAGTAAGGTGGCCAGTATGATTCTATCCGAGGAGGTTAGAAGAAATGTGTCTGAATCAGAAGGTTCAGGTTTAGCCCTAAACTTCGACCAGAGAGGCAGAAACTAGAAGAAAGGGAACCAGAATAGGAATCGGTCGAAGTCAGTGAAGAAGAGGTCAAACTCGAATGTTAGGCCTATCAAAGAAAAGTATTGGAATTATGGCCAGGAGGGCCATATGTCTTTAGTCTGCAAGAGTCCAAAGAAGGATGTTGGTGAGCAGGAGGCTCATATCATGCAGGATGTTTTGATCCTTGCCTTGAACAACGATTCGGATTCTTAGATCATCGACTCAGGAGCCTCTTTCCACGCCACTGTTAATAAGAAGCTTCTTCAGAATTATGTAGCAGGGGACTTTGGAAAAGTGTATTTGGGGGACAATGAGCCCTGTAATATTGTTGGAAAGGGCGATGTGCAAATTCAGACGAAGGGCTCCAAGTGGAACTTGAAGAACGTGAGATACGTACCGAAGCTGAAGAGGAATCTTGTTTTGATGAGAAAGCTTGGAGCAGAAGGCTATAGTTTGACATTCACAGGGGATTCATGGAGAATCTCTAATGGTATGATGGTAGTTGCCCGAGGCAATAAATTAGGGATTATCTACCTCACCTCACATGCAAGTGACACCCTCGCAATTACAGCTAGCAAGGAGAGCACAGATCTGTGGCACAGCAGACTAGGGCACATGAGCGAGAAGGGGATGAAGATCTTACATTCACAGGAAAAACTAATCGGGATCAATTTCGTGGAAGTCGCGGTTTGTGAAGACTGCATCTTTGGGAAGCAGAAGAGGGTTAGTTTCCAGAATGGTGGAAGGTCACCTAAGACTTAGAAGCTAGAGTTAATTCATATAGATGTATCGGGTCTAACCAGTATGTCTTCTTTTGGCAGTTCGAGATACTATGTCATCTTTATCAACGATCACTCGAGAAAGGTGTGGGTTTGTTTCATGAAGCACAAGTCATAGGTGTTCGGACTCTTCAAGAAGTGGAAGGTCATGGTGGAGAACAAGACAAATCTAAAGGTGAAGTGTCTGAGATCAGACAATAATGGAGAATACGAGCTGGAGGAGTTCAAGAGGTTCTGTGCTACGAATGAAATTCGCTTAGAGAAGACTATCCCAGGGACGCCGCAGCAGAATAACATTATGGAGAGGATGAACAGGACCTTGACAGAGCGTGCCAAGAGTATGTGATTACATGCAGGATCTGCCTAAGACATTTGGGCGGATACGGTGCATACGACAGCTTACCTTATTAATCATGGGCCATCAGTTCTATTAGATTTTGGGATTCCAGAGGAGGTTTGGAGTAGAAAGAAGATAAATCTCTCATACTTACGGGTATTTGGTTGCATGGCTTATGTTCATATCAGCGACCATGACAGGGATAAACTAGAGGCTAAGTCACAGAAGTGCACATTCTTTAGATACGGTATTGACGAGTTCAGGTATCGTCTTTGGGATGAGAAGAACAGGAAGATCATCGGGAGCCAAGACGTCATATTCAATGAGGAGATGATGTACAATGATAGGATAAATGCTAAGGATAGCCAAAGCAGTAGGAGCAACACTTTGGAGGCAGGTGGATATGAGTACATGGATTTAGAAGAACTTCCAGATAGGGGTGATGATGTTTGTTCTGACCGAAGAACGGAGGAGGCTCCAGGTGCAGAAGCAACTACCTAGGGCATGGAGCTTAGGAGGTCATCCAGGGTGCCCAAACCGAATCCTAGATATCTTTTATCTCTTGATTACTTAGTGTTAACAGATAGCGGTGAACCGAAGTGCTATGAGGAGGCTATACAAGTGAGTAAATCTCAGCAGTGAGAGCATGCAATGCAAGAGGAGATGGATTTTCTTTATTCACTAATGAGATATGAGAATTAGCCCAGCTACCTGCACAGAAAAAGCCTTGCATAACAAATGTGTCTACCGGGTCAAGCAAGAGAGTGATGGAAGCAAGAGGTTTAAGGCCAGATTAGTCGTAAAGGGGTTCCAACAGTGGGAATGAGTGGACTACACGGAGATATTTTTCCATGTTGTAAAGCTCACAACCATCAGGGTGTTGTTGAACTTGATAGCTGCAGAAGACCTCTTCCTTGAGCAGTTAGATGTGAAGATTGTCTTTCTTCATAGTAACTTGGATGAAGAAATCTACATGAAGCAACATGTTGTCTTCATTAAAGAAGGAAAGGAAGAGATGGTGTGTAAGCTCAAGAAGAGCTTATATGGTTTAAAACAGGCTCCGAGACAGTGGTACAAGAAGTTTGATAACTTCATGCAAAATAATGGCTACAGAAGATGCAATTCGGATCATTGCTGCTATTTCAAGAGGTTCGAGTCCAACTTTATTATATTGTTATTATATGTTGATGATATGTTAGTAGCAGGACCGTATTTAGAGGAGATAAATAGTTTGAAAAAGCAGCTAGTAAAGGAGTTTACAATGAAGGATTTGGGTACAGCATAATAGATTCTAGGGTTGTGAATCAGTAGGGATGAAGCTGGATGGATGTTGAGGTTGAACCAAGCTGAATATATCGAGAAGGTACTTCAAAGGTTTAATATGCAGAATGCTAAGGTTGTTAGCACACCCCTTGGAAGCCAGTTTAAGTAATCTAAGGAGCAATCGTATAAGACAGATGTAGAAAGAGAGCATATGAGTAGGGTACCATATTTTTCGGCCATTGGGAGTCTCATGTACGCGATGGTTTACACGAGGCTGAACATTGCCTATGCAGTAGGAGTTGTGAGCAGGTTTGTAAGCAATCCAGGGAAGCAGCATTGGAAGACCGTGAAGTGGATATTGCGGTACTTAAGAGCGACAACAAAACAAGCCACTATGTTTCAGGAGGAAGGAGCTGGTGCTGTAGGGATACGTGGATGCGTACTTCGTCGATGATCATGATACGAGGCGAAGCATCACAGGGTATGTTTATACCTTAGCATCGATAGCAGTGAGCTAAGTCTCACATCTACAGAAAATTGTGACTTTATCTACAACCGAGGCTGAGTATGTCGTGATGACTAAAACAAGCAAGGAGATGATCTGGTTGAACGGGTGCTTGGAAGAGTTGGATCTGAAGCTATAGAGAGGAGTTCTTTATTGTGATATCCAGAGTGCTATACATCTTTCTAAGAATCCAGTTTATCATGCCAGAATGAAGTACATCGATGTACAATACCATTTTATACGCTTGCTGATTGAAGATGGAAAGGTACACTTAATGAAGATTTTGGGGAGTCAAATTCCGACGGAGATGTTGACGAAGACAGTCGCCATTGAGAAACTAGAGTTATGCATAAATTCAGTTGGCCTTCACGAGTTAAAGATGTTGGCGGAGCCACACTAGGAGGATCGGTGAGATCGCTGGGATGTTGATGATTGAAGAAAGGATTTTATGGGAAGGAGAAGATACTTGCAAAGAAGGGAAGAGTTTGGGTGAACTTGCTGATAACGCTTTGATCTCCAAGTGGGAGATTGTTAGTCTAAGTGTAGACCCAAAGCTAAAGCTAAAGCTGGAATAAAGAAAATGAAGCAAAACGAAGGAAACAGAAAAACTGTAGTGCAGTCGACCGCGATGCTCTCGGCGGTCGACCGCGAACGTGCACGTGACTAAGAAAAGTCTATGGACTTTTCACGGTCGACCGCGATGGGTTCTGCGATCGATCGTATATACCCTGTAGGCATTTTAGATTTCTGTCATTTATTCGGTTGACCGCGACTAGTTCGACGGTCGACCGCGAGTCGACCTGGCAGTTTCCTAATCTATTTTGAATTCTATTTGGGATAGGATTCATATATATATCTATATGTTTTCTAGGGCTAAGGAGAATGTGAAAAACCATCAGAAAGAGAGAAAAAGAGTGAGAATCTTAGGGAGATTAATCCATTGTTTGAGTGCTTGTATTCCTTCTTCAATTAATCAAAAATATTATGTGATGTGGCTCCCGAGGACGTAGGCACGTTGCCGAACCTTGTTAAATTCGTGTGTTCTCTCTTGTTCTTATTTCTGCAAGTTTTTATCTTTGATTTGTGGTGAATTTCTTTTTTGCTCAACTTTCTAACAAGGTCTGGAAGGGCAAGGGTTCGATTTGATTATTTTGAATCCCTAACATTTATCACATCTTTATGATGAGTATCTTAAATGATGACAATAGTTTCTCATTTTTCCTTATATACATACATACAAGATGACTACATTTCCCTTTTTAATTAAATTCACGAATGGAAAGTTATCACTTTACAAGAACCAACAAAAACAACCTGATTGATATCATTCTAATTATTGAGAATTAAATAGGTAGTTATTATGAAGTAAACTCGAAATTAAGAGGGTGTTTGGCAACTCTCCCACTATCTAAGTTAGCGGAGCTAACCCGGTTAAAAGGTTGAATTGTAATTTGGGTAAAATTGGGCCAACTCCAAATTTAGTTTTCTTAGTTCAACTTTAGGCTCTTATCTAGGTTAGGAATGAACAATCCTCTCTAAATGGTTAATAACTAACCTAGTTAACTCCTTAACCAAGTGATCAGCAGGGAGTAGCCAAACACACCCTACGAAATAAAAACTAACCAGGACGAAGCTGTTCAGGAGCAGAAGTGATGAGACTCATGAGCCCAGCCCTGCCATAGCCATAGAATTTAGCCAAAAACAACGTCGCATTCGCTTGTTCCTCCGGATTCCTCAACCACCGTAGGCATGGTCGAATGCTGCAGCTCTCACTGCATCCCTTCCTCAAAATCCTACAGCCATTGCAACTCATCCTCATTCTTAAATTGCAAGAGGAACCAAAACTGGAATGGAAAGAAAAGAGAGCTCGCCTCAGTGTTTATATAGCCTGGAGATGCGAGCCAAAAGTATGCATGTTAGTCTTTTACTAAAATGACACCACATCAACACAAAAGATATGCTGGAAGATGAGAAAAGAGGGGACTACTTGGAAATTTTACATGCGCACGCGTACGGACAAGAGAGGAGTAATGATGCAGATGGACGCGTGCGGGGAGCGTGCAACCACATCTTATGGTAAAAGACAAGTGCTGGGTGAACCTGCCCCCTCGAGGAGAGTTACCCTTGGCTCCCCAATTTGTGGAAAATTTTTTTAGGGACTCTAAGAGTACTACACCACACCAATAGAAAAAGATCATGCGGGCAGAACCCACTTTCAAATATAAGCAGTGATGAATTTGTTTGTGGGATTAGAGCACGTGAGAATGAGTTACTTCGGATAAGTGTGTGGTTTCTAGCTTTTATTTTGTTTTTTCCTTTACCTCATTACTATGGGCGCCCAACGGAACAAATCCAACAACTTTAAAAATAAATTTGGAATTATACTCGCCATGAGCCAGATGTCATACGAAAATATTTCTTGTTTTGTCCACCCAACACCCTTCCATCTTTCCCAAAACCGATAAGAGTGCACCATGAAGAATTAGATTTTATCGGAGCGCTCTTAATCTTTATTTTTCTTCTCCCCCTCCTCTCTCGAACTAATTAATAATGTACGTAGATAGAAAATTAAATACAACTGTCAAATTTAACAAGTCATTCAAATTCTTTATTCGGTATTCAATTCGATTCAACTTTCTGCTTTTAACATACCATATCCTACATTGGGTTGGCACAAAACATGATTGATGATAGTTAAAACATTTCGTTATTATGACTATTCACAAATTTTATCATTAATCATGACTTATGTGATCAAACTTTCATTTTTAAAGAAGAAATGAAGAATCTTAGTTAGAAAGTAAGACTCTTCATGGCTATAAACTAATTGGATTGTAAGTATCATACATGAATGCTATCATTTCAATTAAAATCAAGAAAAAGAATTCTTTCCCTCCTCGTTATATCTTTGGCCATAGATTGTCCATCTCTCCAAACAGCCTACTAAAAAATAAAAAACAAACTCTAAATTTGTAAATTTATTGGATCTGACTACATAATTTCTGAATAATTACATGGTCGATCACGTCACCTCTCTCTCTTTCTTAATCCTTTTTTTTTCTATATCTTAAATTTATTTAATCTACTTCCCTCTCTCCAAAAAGCCTCTCTCTGACCTACGTCACCCTCTCCCTCCTACAACCTCACCTTCTTTGATCCTGAACATAAAATTATATTCCTCAATCATCACCAAAACTCTATAGTTTTGTTGTACTAGTAGAAACTAACTTTAGAGTTCTTGTTATAGTAGTAAAGACTTTAAGATGATATTAAAACAACCCAGTTTCAAATCTCGCTAACCACAAAATTAATGCCAATATCAAGAAAATGATATCGTTGTGTGATCTAAGTTTCAGCCCCAAAAGGAATGATCAACCTATAGTTAATCATGATTTATGTGAACAAACTTTCCTTTTTAAAGAAGAAATGAAGAATCTTAGTTAGAAAGTAAGACTCTCCATGGTTATAAACTAATTGGATTGTAAGTGTCACACATGAATGCTATCATTTCAATTAAAATCAAGAAAAAAATTTCTTTCCCTCCTTGTTATATCTTTGTCCATAGATTGTCCATCTCTCCAAGCTACCTACTAAAATTTTACAAAAAAAAACTCTAAATTTGTAAATTTATTAGATCTAACTACATAATTTCTGAATAATTACATGGTCGATCGTGTCACTTCTCTTTCTCTTTCTTAGTCCTTCTTTTCTATATCTTAAATTTATTTAATCTACTTCCCTCTCTCCAAAAAGCATCTCTCTGACCTACGTCATCCTCTCCCTCCTACAACCTCACCTTCTATGATCCCGAGCATAAAATTATATTCCTTAATCATCACAAAAACTCTATAGTTTTGTTGTACTAGCAGAAACTAACTTTAGAGTTCTTGTTATAGTAGTAAAGACTTTAAGATAATATTAAAACAACCCAATTTCAAATCTCGCTAACCACAAAATTAATGCTAATATTAAGAAAATGATATCGTTGTGTGAATCCAAGTTTCAGCCCCAAAAAGAATGATCAACCTATAGTTAATCATGATTTATGTAAACAAACTTTCCTTTTTAAAGAAGAAATGAAGAATCTTAGTTAGAAAGTAAGACTCTCCATGGTTATAAACTAATTGGATTGTAAGTGTCACACATGAATGCTATCATTTCAATTAAAATCAAGAAAAAGATTTATTTCCCTCCTTGTTATATCTTTGGCCATAGATTGTCCATCTCTCCAAGCTGCCTACTAAAAAAAATAAAAAAAACTCTAAATTTGTAAATTTATTGGATCTGACTACATAATTTCTGAATAATTACATGGTCGATCATGTCACTTATCTTTCTCTTTCTTAGTCCTTCTTTTCTATATCTTAAATTTATTTAATCTACTTCACTCTCTCCAAAAAGCCTCTCTCTGACCTACATCACCCTCTCCCTCCTACAACCTCACCTTCTTCGACCCCGAACATAAAATTATATTCCTCAATCATCACCAAAACTATTGGACATAGAGTCACACCCACACGTCGTGGAAGCGATATAACTCGAGAGAAAGCACTGGATTTTGTTGTCACAAAAGCTCAAACCAACCTCTATATTCCCGTTTCACAAAGGAAACAAGAATATAAAGTAAAATAGCTTTAAAAAAATAAAATATACACTCTTCCTCTCATCAGTTCTAGGACTGACTTGTCAAGGGAACCTACAAGCAATAGCCAACACCCAGAAAAAAGTAAATACACGAGATTTACGTGGTTCAGCAAACTTACCTACGTCCACGGGAGGGATGAGGAGAGATTCCACTATGAGGAGAACACCAACGACTTGTACAATCCACAAGCTCGTCTCAAAGATAAAGCTATGATTTTTTTACCCAAAAGAAATTGACATCTCTCTTGTAAAATCTCTCCAAGCTCTCTCTTTTTCTCTCATCAAGATCTCACTTTTAGATCTGAAAAACTCTCTGTTTTCTCCTCTAAACAGCCGCCAAAAACCTCAGCAAAATCCTCTGTCTCTTTTTTCTCTCTTCACCTGCAGCCGACTAACCCTCTTTCGTTTTTTCCCATACACACAAAACTCTAGAAGGTCGGGTATTTATAGCATGGGGAAACACCGCTCTTTAACTATGGTAAAAAAAACCCGAACAGGCCCAACCGCAGACGAGCTTCTCGTGGGTGTGGCCCCCACGAGATTGGCCTTCGTGAGATTGTCTTGCTCCTGTTTTTCTCATGTGGGTATGCCCCCACGCATTCACAATTCTCCACCTCGTACATCATTTGATAAACCTTAAATTTTGGACGAACACCAGAAGAACACCACGAACATCACCAGAGAAATCTAAAAATACCAAACCAGGCCAAACCAGCTGTGCTACTATACCGCGGCTGCCTACGTACCCTCCACCAGGATCAAGCTAACCGTAGTTCAGTTATTGTTCTCCATATAGTCTCCACCTCACCCCATCACCGTCCCAAAGGGCAATGTCCTCTTAGGCAGTTCAACACGGGCAGATATAAAGCAAGTCCAAGCAATACTTAAACTTGCTATCCGTGACCACCTTGGTTAACATGTCTACAGGATTCTCATTCGTGTGCACCTTCATAAGAGAAATATCACCTTCTTCTATGACATCCCATACGAAATGATACCTGGATCGATATACTTGGTACGAGCATGATAAACTTGATTCTTCACCAAGTGAATCACACTTTGACTGTCGCACCACAAGTTCACGTTCTCTTGCTTAATCCCAGATTGTCTAGAAGACCCCATAACCATAATGCTTTCTTCACTCCCTCCGCCATGGTCATGTACTCGGCCTATGTAGTAAAAAGTGTCACTATAGCCTGTAACATCAATCGCCAACTAACTAGAGCCACATGTATCCTAAATACATAACTAGTAGTAGATCGCCGTCAATCTAGATCGCATGCATAATCTGAGTTCACAAACCCGTCAATCTGACATGTCTTTCCACCAAAACACAACCTCGTATCAACAGTACCCTTCAAGTACCTTAGGACCTACTTCATCACTTCCCAATGTGCCTTTCCCGGATTCGCCATGAATCTGCTAACCACACTGATCGCCTGTGAAATATCTGGGTGTGTACAAACCATAGCGTACATCAAACTACCAACTACACTAGCATAAGGAACACGCTCTATGTGTGCCTTCTCTTCCACTGTAGTGGGAGATTGTTTACCTAAAAGCATAAAGTGTGGAGCCAATGGCGTCACCACTGACTTAGCACTTTGCATCCTGAACCTTACGATAACCCGCTCTATGTAGTTTTTCTAACTCAAGAACAATCGTTGATTCACCCACTCTCTTCTAATCTCCATACACAGTATTTTCCTAGTAGCGCCCATGTCCTTTATCTCAAACTCTTTACCAAGTTGAGATTTTAGTCTATCTATCTCCACCCTACTCTTAGAAGCAATAAGCATATCATCCACATACAAAAAAATAGATATAATCACCTCCACGAAGCTTCCGAATATAAACACAATAATCATAATCACTTCAGGAAAATCCATGCTTCAGCATGAAGGAGTTAAATCTCTTGTACAACTGCCAAGGAGATTGCTTTAATCCATAGAGTGACTTCCTCAAGCGACACACATGATTTTCCTTATCTTCAACCTTGTAACCCTCAGGTTAATGCATGTAGGTCTCTTCATCCAAGTCTTTGTGCAAGAAGGTTGTCTTTATATCAAGTTGTTCCAGCTCAAGATCACTATGAGCAACAATACTCAATAGCACCTGAATAGAAGTGTGTTTCATCACCGGAGAAAATATCTCATTATAATCCACACCCTCTCT